TGAACAATGGGCGAATAGCAACAGTGGTGTTGCAGTACGCTGACAACGGTACAGCAACACAGAAAATCCATTCAGGGTTAGTTTAAGAGGATGCAAGGCTTGAAGTGTTTAGCTGCAAATGAACTTCTGTTGTTCTCTTCTAGGCGATGGAATGGATGATGTCGGAAGTACAGGGCACTGTGGAGTTCTCACTGGAGCTGCACAAGTTTCACAATGTGGATCTCTTCCAGAGAGGGTAAGTCTGTGTTCTTCTTCTGCATGTTTGAAGGCTGTGATGAATGGCTTGGTAAAGCATCTGTTCTCTAAACATGTTCAGGAATAGCACATGGTGACGGCGTCATGTACAAACCCTAAGAGCCAGTTTGGAGTTTAATTTGAAAATGTGCTCTCACATTCCAGAAATGCTTTCATGTTCTTTTTAAATGTAATGAATTGCTGGCAAAGCTAAGTCTCATTAGCTTTCAGAACTTAATAGCAAGTGTTCCGAAAAGCAAAACAAACTTTTAGCAGATACATGCATTTTCTTTAATGATAAAATGCACAAAAAAATTGTTAATGACTCATCTTGGACTCCAAACAAATGCTCTCTACTATGAGAACCCAAATGACATCTGCTAAAGGCTATTTAGACTAAAGAATATTCTGCTATTTACAAAAATACACGACACTTAAACAGTCAGTGGAATTTTTTTTTAATGTTTAAGAAAGTCTATTATGCTTAACATGGCAGACTTCATCTGATTAAAAAATAATTAAAAAACATTTTTTTTTTACTGACCACAAAATTTTAAATGGTAGTGTGTGTCGATCTAATCTCCTGTTTCAACAGAAAATACACTAGCAGAACTCATGCAATTCCATAGAATTATTTTCAAGGCTATTATTGACACCAAATGAAATAGCAATCAGTCTGAACAGCCTGATTGGCCGAGACATTCATTCACTCAACCAATGACAGGAGTTAGTTAGACAAATAGCAGACAGGGAGAGTGAAACTTAAACTTAGAAAAGGGATGTATTTGGTTATAGACCTTATGCACCAGAGAAACAAGGGCGCTGCCATCTTTAGAATATTGTCTCTGAACTTCTGTTTTTGCGGTCGTTCTGTATATTTCTATGGAGTAATAAGCTTTTGAAGTGGATTTACTTAATGTAAAGTTATCATGAGAATTGTAATGTTTAAAGCAGATGTCTTAACAAATGTAAGTAGACCGGGAAGATTTTAAAACGAGATGTTCATTTATAAATAGGCAAGATCACTGTGAAAATACAGACCGGAAGACAAATGACAACGAGTGCAGCGCTGAAAAGTGGTGGGGCTACATAAGGTCTATTGGTGTAAATTATTATTATTATTTTTTTAAATAATCACACTTCTCTGCATGTGTATTCGACGTATTTGACAACTATTTTAAGAATTAATCTATATCTATATGTATGCTTCATGTAAAAAACTGACAATATTCCCAGGCTGATTTTTTTAGTGATGTTTTAGCATATCATATGTAGGCATATTGGCAAAAATGCAAGCTATTCCTTGGGGAGAGAATCTTCCTTGCTAATAACATTGTTATTTACACATTTGTTTACCTTAATGAAGTTACTAGAAAAATAACACGGTCAATGCACCCATTAACTACGCTGCAAATGCAAAATCGAGATTGCTTTGACTATAAGCAAAAAAAGTTGCTACACTGCAAATGTCTGAAACTGTGTTTTTTTTGTAATATTGACATCTTTACTGATTGTTATAACGGTGAGGTACAGCTCGCTCGTAGTGTGGACTGAGTGTTAAACACTGTTTTCACATACGCCTCCCCGCTATAAGACCATAAGGCATCGCATGAAGGTGTTCGGTGGACTGGTAAATGATTGATTTTTGCTGTTTTTGTACATTATTTTCCTGTCATTGGTTCAAGTCAAATCAATTACACCCTTGCTGCGAGCAGCAGGTGAAGTCTACAGAGGAACTCAATGACTTTACAGGTCACTGATTTTTAACTATGCAGCATATAGAGATCTGACTAGGAACTAATAGAGGTTCAGAGACAAATCTGTGTGGCCTGCCATGACCTTTATGATTCTTCTGGAAGTTCTACAGGTGCTAATTCGGTGTTTGCTCCATTACTTCAGTCTTCAGTGTCACATTATCCTTCAGAAAACATTTTAGTATGCTGATTTGCTGCTCAAGAAACATTTCTTATTATTATGCTGAAAAACAGTTGTGCTGCTTAAAATTTTTGTGGAAACCGTGCTACTTTTTTCAGGATTCTTAGATGAAGAGAAAGTTCAAAATAACAGCATTTCTTTGAAATAGTAAAGACATGTATAATGTTACAATGTCTTACTGATACTGACACAAAATTTTTGAACAGCAGTGTATATTAAATACGTCTAAATAAATGTACATATACATTTTAAAAAGTGTAAACAACATTTTACTGATTATTTTATAATTATACAAGTTTATTATGACAATGGAGTAAAATAATTAATGTCAAGAATTCTGCAGGTGCGTTTAAAATGAATTATCGAAAGCAAATTCTATTTTACATGCAAATAAAATGACCAAAAACTTGATGTTAATGAAAAAAAAGCTTGAAAAGATGGGTTGTTAACACAAACTTACTTATTTATCATATTTAAAAGATATTCCTGATAAAAAGATTTTTTTTTGAATAATTGCTATTGGTTATAATTAATATAAATTGTCGTGAGTGTTAACAGTGGAGTTGGCAGTTAATTTGTACACATTCTGTGCCCGTTGTTGCTAAAGAACTGGGATAAAACTTGAAGAAAAATTCTACTATTTGTACTTCTTAATTTTATAACACGAGAGATGAAAAATAATACTGTAACTGCCATGTGAATAAAATGTGCCTATTTTATTCAGACAAAAATCACTTGAACACATGATTACTGAACTTGTAGGCAACTTCCATAGAAAGACATTGTTTATAACAGAGAAAGTTCATGCTCTCTTTAAGAAACAGGCAGATCTAACACCAAGGTAATCAACAAGGGAAAGGGTGATAAAGTTTCTAAAAAAAAGAACGTGCTCTGTGACTTGGATAAAACGAGCCTACGAATCTATAGACATCCTGACTCTTAGCAGTACATCTAAAGTCGGTTAAGTCTCATCACACGTTTGTCAGCAGATCTAGAATACTATTTGCTCTCTATCCTCAACCAGTCTCCTGACAGCTGTGTGAAGCAGAGGTTGAGTAGAGGTCACTCCTAATGTTGTTCAACTCACAGCGTTTGCTCTGAGATTAAAGCCAGGCTGTTGGCTGAAACATCAGCTTTGCAGAGATTTGATTGCCCCTTCCCCCTCCATAAAGCAGAAAGCTAAACCTCTGAAATAATCCCCAGAAGACACAGACTGCTGGTATACTGTTTGTTTTTTACAGCCACTGTATGTAGTTCCAGCTCTGAAGACAAGCATCTAACAATAGAACAGGACAGATTGAACTAATACAACTTTAGCCTATATGTGTCTAGTGGAGCCCAACAGAATACATTATAGTGAGCGCAGAGAATCTGTTTGGGAATGACGTATTAGGTGAGCAGTCATTCATTGGTGTGTGTGGTATGTGGTTGAAGAAAATGATGTGGATTTGGTGAAGCAGAAAAGAACAAATAAACAAATGTCATATTTTGCTCACCAGGTTGTTCCAAACCTAACCCTCTGATGGTCCTCGGTCACTTCTGACCGAATAATTTTCTGTTTTGAATTATTAAAAATCACAGCTTCATCGGAAGGTTATGATACTTGGTGACTTTTTTGGCATTTGGTATGTGAATACAAAAAAAAAAATTGAGGTCATGATCCGATCATGCTAAGTGGTCGTAAAAAAAAAAAAAGTCACACTCGTGGTCTTCGGTCAGAAATGACCGACCCATAGGAAATGAATGGGACATTTACAAAAAAACAAAAATTCTCTGAATTTTTTTGTACAATCTACAAATCGGCCACGATTCTTAAAAGAAGTATTCCGCAGTAAAGGGGTGACACTCTACAACATCAAGAGTGCAAAAAATTTACACCCCCCCCCCACACACACACACACATACAAACACACTTTTATACACATACACACCAATTAATTCAGACAACAAAAAATCTCTTTTGAATTTTTAAAAATCACAGCTTCATCGAAATGTTACGAAACTTGGTGACATTTCTGGCATTTGGTATGTGAATACAAAAAAAAATTGAGTTCATGATCCGAGCATGCTAAGTGGTCGTAAAAAAATGAGTCACGATTTTGGTCTTTGGTCATAAATGACCCCCATAGGAAATGAATGGGAAATTGTCAAAAACACAAAATTCACAATTTTTTATTTATTATTTTTTTTTACAAATTTTTTTTATAAGAAATACTTTTTGAGATTGTTTCAATTATATATTCAAATCCACCAAAAAAAATCTCTCCATAGAGAGCTGTACATGCCATCAAGTGGTTACACCATGATTCTATGCTTTTTCTCTATGCTGTAACCAGATGGTGCTAATTTTCTTCAAAAACAATTTTTTTTCTGAAGGTTTAGACTCTATATTAAACAAAAATACTGCATTAATAAATAAATAAATATATATATTTCCATTGAAAAAAGAGACCATAAATATTGAATAAAAATTAATAAATTCAATCAAATTGTCTCAAAATACTACATTAAAAAGAATAAATATTATAGAACAAAAATAAATTGCATTGGTTTTACTGGGATGGAAGAAGTTTCATTTTTAGGCCTCCGGTCACTTCTGACCGGGAAGGCCCAGGACGTGACTCAGAAAGGAAGACCATCAGAGGGTTAATGGCTCATTTCCACAGAGCGGTACAGTACAATACAACGGTAAACCCTAATCCAGAAGAAAAATGAATAATGCCACTTCCATTCCATGCCAACTTTAATTCCATGTGGGAAATTTACAAAACTTACCAAAATAAAAATGACTCAGTGTAAACGCTAGCATGAAGCTGTTCTTTTCCACACTGCATGTTTTAACATGTGCTACAGACAGGTGCTATATCATTTCAGACATGTTGTGGCTTGTGTTGCGCTGTAAACATGCTTTAACATGCGCTACAGACATTTTAGCACTTGCTGCAACAGCGCATCATGCATTTCAAACATGTCGTAGCTTGTCCAGCACTGCAGACATGTTTTAGCATGTGCTACAGGCATTTTAGTGCATGCTATTGACACTTAGCACTTTAGCAGTGCATATGCGTTTCGTTGCAGCATGCTGTAGACATTATTGTGAATATTTCAGCGTGGAACTATAGTTGCATTTGGCATGTGTATTTGACGTGTGCTGTAGACATACTTTAGCATGTACTGTCGACATACTGTGGTGTAGATGTTCTAGCGGAGCTGATGTGAAGTACAGGGATGACCAGAGAGTATGATCTGTGAAGTGCTTCAACATTTAACATGCAACCGCAGTCACTTCACAGGCCAAGGTGACCTTTGCACTAACCCACTGATGGAGTCTGGGCCGTCTGAACATGTCGACTAAGCTTTCACATTAATTCATCATCATTATTTATGTTCTAATAGAGATTCACTGCATAAGATTTCACACTGACCAGATAAAAAGCTGTTTATCCCAGTCTTGTTCAGTGTAAATGGTATAGGTACAAGCAATATATCCGTTTTTTATTGCCATTTTGTCCTGAGAGGTTTTCATAATTAAATGTAGTCATTTGTAGAGAAATTTACCAGTAGGAAGAACATCCCACAGTCTTTTATTAGGAAACACAAGCAATTCAACGAGTTTTCATGTTTATACATATGATACGATCTAGGAAAACCCATCGAATGTCACGCTCGTACGTTTTCAATAAGGTCTAAAAATAGATTGAATGTCAGTTTTTTTTTTTTTGTCAAAATTGGGTTTTTATTAAATTTTTATTCTATAACATCTTGTTTATCATATCTGAATATATCTTGGGAAAATTCACTAGTGCAGAAAAATAGCGATTTATAATCGCCAGCTGAAAAGACGGAAGGGCAAACAATATCTCCTGTTTAGCTCTCCTTCTCTTAACACTACAAAGGCAGTTCATCTATCAAAATAAACCACATAACAGAAAGTCCAGTCCTGGGTGAACTACAAAAGCCCACAAGTTTTATTTATTTATTTTTTATCCAGCGTTATCGTGTGGTGTGATGTGGAGCACAAGAGAACTACAGAGTTTGAAGCTGCTCGTTTAAAAGACCTTGCTCGCCTCTCAATCGTCAAATTTCAAAACGGTTTTCACAGGTTGAATTTTGAGTTCGTAAGCTTTCGAATGATACCTAATCTATGATGATTACTAAAATATGTGATATGAAATGTGACTGTTAATTGAACCTGTTTTTCTCAAAATCCCATTTATGAAAATCATAGCGATCGGCCGACTTCAGATAACCATAACTTTTGTTACAGAGAAACGATAAAAAAAAAAAAAAAAAAAAAAAAAAAAAAGATTTGGAAGGGAATTGAACCCAGGTCTCAAAACCTGTAATATGTCAAATTTCACCATGTGGTGGGTTTTCCCAGATCGCATCACATATATTATATACACTGAGAATTATTCTAAAAGTTTGGAATAATTCATATTTTGAAATATTTTTAAAACAAATGCACCATGGCTGCATTTATTTGATCAAAAAAGTGATATTGTGAAATATTATTACCATACAAGTGTCAAAACATTAAATTAACCAAATTTTTGAAATCACATGAAATAACAAAAACGGAAAAAATAAATATTTAATAAATATTTTATATCTTAATTTTATGTTTATGCAATTTTTTTTTATTATTCTTATGTCAGACACAATGTAACTTGCTCTGTGTTTTGGTTTGACTCATTTAACTGGAAACTTGATGATTCGTCAAATGAGATCTAATTCTGGGTCTTTTTCACTTGCAGCTTCTATCAGGTGAGGGCAGGTCTACGCGTGTCTCCTCGGGTTCCCCACAGAATCACTGCCATAACACCTGGATACACAGGTGAGAACTTTCAATATTGACCTTCTTTACTTTGTATTGTTTCGGTGTCTCCATAAATGTATATGTCAGAAAATATGCAACTAATCAAGTGGATTGGATTCGAGATGCATCATCCGAGAGTTTTAGACTCTCAGCATGCTAAAATCTTCTATAAGGAGATGCTTCTATGAATGTATTCCATTAACAGGGCCACTGTGACCATTAAAGCAGCACTTCAAAATTAAATTCACCCCCTGAACAACAATTTTAGAGACAATTACTGTCAAACCTGCTGCAAGTACTGTTATTATGCACAATGCATTTGTTTGTGAGGACTTTAATCATTTTGAATACAGTTATTCAGTATATACCTTGTTTTAATGGATACAGGACGATAGTGAAGCCCATCGGGAGAGTCTGCTCAAGGGTTTCAGTTGAGGGCTCTTACCAAGAGGCTTTTGGAGGATTCCCCTCGCTGTTTTTCTACTCCTGCAGTTTAAAATAAATGTGCAGAAACCACTCAGACACAAAGGTTTCTGAGACCAAAAAACAGCATTTCAAGGACAGAGAGAGAGAGAGAGAGAGAGAGAGAGAGAGAGAGAGAGAGAGAGAGAGAGAGAGAGAGAGAGAGAGAGAGAGAGAGAGAGAGACACTCAAACAGAAGTATTTACCATCTAGATATGAGGCTTTTAAAGTCTAACAAATTTTCAATTATGCACTAAAACTATAAAAACAGATTGACAAAGAAAATTAGAGCAAAACAAGATTTGTTCAACATTGATGTCAAAAAATTTTAAGTGAAAAAGTGTTTACTTTGCTATTCTAAATTTATATAACAGCTGAAATAGCTACTTCTATATTAAGAAATATTATATAATTTTTTTTTTATATATATGTACATGTCTACAATATTACCCAGAAACTATAATCTAACAGACAAATTTTCCTATGGTATGTTTATTAATATAATATAAAAGGCTGCACTGATATAAAATTTCCAATACCATTATTCAGAATATCTGCCTATACTTTGATTTTCTTAAGGGGGGGGGTCTCTCCCGACTTATTATGTAAGCTTTACAGGGAACCCTCTCATTGATTGTCTACATATTGCTATAATATTTGAAGTTAAAATTAACAACAAAGCCTAATAATCTGTTATATTGAACTGAGCTTCATTTTGATTTTCAGATATAAACATTGCACTGAAATATAAATGTTTGAATACAACAGTTGATCACAAGGTAGTTTGCATAAACACCGGTCTTTGTAATACATTTATTCAGACATAATTAACAGTAAATAAGCTCCTCTCTAGAGTTTTTATAGATAACTAATGAACTGTAAACATTGGATAGCCTAATACCTTTCCTGAGGTAAATGCCAGTTTGTGACAATTTAAGTCTTTTCACGGTTTAAACGCTAGATGAGCGATTACATGAGACACATTTTGATAAGTTATACTGTATCTTTCAACATACCTTTTGGTGTTCATGTTCATGAATGATTTTTTCGTGTTATAAGAGGAACAAGAGACTAGCGCTCCATGTTGCCGCTTGAACTGAGGCTGCGAGCGAGGCATTACATTACGTCACATTTAAGAGCGCCAAAACGCCATTGTTTAAATTTTGTGATAAAATGGACAGAATTTGAAGTCTGCAGACTTTTCTAGTCAGAAGTACAAAAGCACAAAGCTCTTTGCGGTTACTGTATGGGAGGGAGGCGTCCAACAAATAATGTTTGGTGTAAAAACGCGGACCTGGCAATCCTGGCTGCTGGCTTGAACTACGGGTGATTCATAGGGTCAAATGGTTTAATTAGAGCGATACCGGTAGTTCACCCAAAATTGAACATTTTGTCATTATTTACTCACCCTCAAGTTGCTCCAAATCTTTATGGGTTTCTCTCATCTTTTGAAAAAAAAAAAAAAAAAAAAAACTCTCAGTAGGCTATTTCTTGGGGTGAAATATCATGTAAGGCTATTGTATTGCATTATTGTCGAGAAGACAGCCCTCAACTCCAGGAAATGAGATTTAGCAGGGTGGATTGTCTAAATTCATGGTCTCTCATTTGCGTATTCTATATTAAACATAAAGGTTTACAATTGCTGTTGTAATAGTTTTGCTACAAGACATTTTCTCATGGTTTTCAGTGACCTGAACCCACCTGATTACACAAACATACTTTGTAATTTAGGTTACCTGTTTGCCCTTTGTGCTAACTTGCATTCTTCTCACATTCCCAGCATACACTCTGTGCTCAAAACAGTAATCTACAGACGGCTTTAGTTTTATGGCTATCTGACAGCAGTCCGGGACATGGGCGCATGTTTTGTCAGGTGAAAATATAGGCTAGTCTTTTTCTTTCTCTGTCTCTCTCTCTCTCACACACACACACCAGCCAGAATCATTTCAGTTGACAGCACCTCATATTATCTAGTAGGCCTATTATTTAACACAATATTGTCAAGAAAGCTTCTTTGTCATATCTTACCAAAGACATTATTACTTTATTTACTTTATTATGTATATACCCATACTACTGTTTTCTTTCAATTTTGCTGTCACGGTAGTGAGAGCGTGCGTTCGCATGCTTCTGAAAGTGAAATGTTTGTTCAGTAAAGCCTACTCGTGATTCCAGCACACTAAGAACTACAGATCAAATAGGTACTGCCGTCTGAATGACATCACCTTCACCGTAATGAGCTTCTGGGCACACATTTATCTTTGTGGGACTAACAATACTAGAACTTTGTTATTTGGATGTCTGCTGTCGGAAAAGTATAAAAAGACACATTTCTTTACATTACATTCTCTGCCGATTTGGTGCTCAAGAAACATTTCTCATTATCATCAATGTTAACAGTCAGCAGTTAACCAGAAACAAAACAATGCAGATATTTAAGATATTATATTTAATAATATATATATATATATATATATATATATATATATATATATATATATATTTAGATATTTAAAAAAATATATATATATATATATATATATATATATATATATATATATATTTCCATGTCCTTTTTTTAAACATTATTGTCAATAGGACACTGATAAATTAAGTATTTCCTGTTCATTGAGTTGCTCATTTTGTTTCAGTTTTAGTTACATGAGATCAGCAGTTTTTTATTTGGCTTATCTTAATCTGATCTTAATGTCTTTATTGAGGACTTACAGTGTGTGTGTGTGTGTGTGTGTGTGTGTATTTGGCAGCAAAATTCTACGGCCTCTGTCTGACATTGAGTCTTGGCACGGCTCTTTGACTGAATCCCATATATACGCTCTGAATAAAACTGTCACACACATTGGCATCAGCGGCCATTTTGGATCTGTCAGTCATTCAGTCTCTGAAGTGATTTCATTTCCAGTTTTAAAATGCCATCCGGTACTGGCAGGCTGACTGACTAAACTGAAGTTTTTCAGTGTTTTTGTGCTCTCTACTAACTAGAACTATTCAAATAAACACAGTTTTGATTCGTGCCTCACAAGTTCTTCCTCAACCTAAGCAAGAGATGCTCTGTATTATTAATTATGGACATTATTCCTGTCATTATCCCATGTAAAAAAGGTTCATTAAAATCTCCACATGTAACACTTCCAGCTTCCTTTCCAGCTTCATACAACACGGACAATATTATAAGTATGAAAAGAATGAATCACATGCCACATCATATGGTAATAAAACACAGAGACGTGAGCTAAAATGCTAATTCTGACTGTACAACATGTCAGATTGCAGTGCAGTGAATTACCATACTGCACTCAGACAGCAGCAGAAACTGTCCTGTTCAGTCTCTCTGTGATGCTTATCAGAAACACACAGTCCTGATTCATAATCCAGTGCTGCTGTGTCCACAAACACAATAACAGTATTTGCAGGAGCTGCTATGAAATACATAAGGTGATACAAAAATTAATTGAAATTGAAAACCCCTCACCCGCTTTTTAGATTATATACATCTGTTCATTTAGCAGACACTCTCATGCAAGCCACTAAAAAACATCTTCCTGTATCAAAAGTTGACAAATGTTGGATCAGTATCAGCACTAGAACAATACAACCAGAAGCATATGCTCTCATTTACTCACCGCCAAGCTGTTGCAGACTCGTATGGCTTTCTTTCAGACGTGAAACAACAAAAGGAGATATTTTGAATATTAGAGACACAGAAGAACCACAAAACGCAAAAAGACACAAAAAAGTCTAGCACTCAGAGTCTCAGCATAGCAGAATTACACAGTTTGTCTAATTTGACTAGATGTGGGGAACACTTTTGGAACAAATTGATTTAGTCTACGAAAAAAAAATATGTATTATTATTTAAATTTATCTAGCGATGGCAAAATGCTTATAATGTCTTGGATTTGTTTATGTTTTTGAAATTGTGTTATGAACTCCAAACTTTCATTTACTGTATCAAAATGCAGTGGTGAAATTTTGCAATGTTTTCCAAATTATAGTTCAATGCAAATTTTGCCTTAACATAGTTTTAAAATTAGTTTCTAACGGCTTCCTAAAGACATATAACAACAAAAAACTAATGGATACTAATGGGTCTCTGTGGCCTATATAACTTGTGCGGCAGCAGTTTTTAACCCACTTGTTAGCCGCCCGCCTCCCACGCCGGAGACCGGGGCTCAAATCCCGCTCGGAGTGGATCGAGTAGAACCGATTAAATTTGGTGCCGTGACCCAGGTGAGAGTGAGGTTTAGGGGGTGAGTGTCACAGAGGCCTGCTAGTGAGAGCTGTGCAGGTAAACCTCACTCCCCTGATCTCTAGAGGCGCACTTAAGGCCAATTTATACTTCTGCGTCGAGGGTACGCCGTAGTGTACGGTGTTGGCTATGCACGTAGGCGACGCCATTGTGAGCATTTATACTTCTGCATTCAGGTCTTGGTTGCTCTGCAGTACTGCTCCGAAACGCTAGTTGGCGGCGGAGGGTTTTAATGTTCCACTGTGTTTAGATTCCTCGCGGCTAGGTTACTACAAGCAATGGCGACTGAAAGAGAGCGGATCATGTTGGAGTTGGAGCTTATTGAGGCGGAAAAACAGTTCACTTTAGTGAAATTACTAAAACTGAAAGGCAGAAATGAGAGAAGACGTCGGAGGAGATGGAACGTGTGGAAATGCGTGAGAAGGTACGTGTGGAAATGCGTAGGAGGAAATGCGATGCTACCAAGCCGACCAATCACGGATCTTGCGGTACGCGTCGTTGCGACGTGTAGTTACATTTTTGAGGAGGTGCGCGTCAGGCTACGGCGAAGGGTACGCGGTAAAGGTCTGTGCGTATGCTACACCGTACCTACTGCGCGCACCCTACGCAGAAGTATAAATTGGCCTTTAGTGACTGATGTTAGAGGCTGCAATCTTTAGTGTGCCTGCCTCCCATGCTGAAACACAGGTTCAAACCTCGAGTGCGAATAGAACCAGAGGGGAATTGGTGCCGTGACCCGGAATGGGGGTTTACGGAGGTGAGTGTTACTAACGTAGGCCAGCAAGAGCTGTGTGTGTATATCTCACTGAGCCGAGCTAGCGAATAATGCTAGAGGCTGCAGTCTTTAGCATCCTTGTTCGAATCCCACTCGGAGCGGGTCGAGTAGGACAGGTTACACGAGGAACAAATTGATAATTAAGTCATTGAGTGGATTGTTAACTGGTTAACTGACTGGATCACTGAGTGAGTTGAACTTGAGAAATGTGATTAAAGATATTGAACTCAAAAGAATAATTTTATCATAAATCAGAGGTTGCAGCTTCTTCATAAATGTGCTAAAGTTCGAAAAAGTCTAAAAAAAGAAGTCGTAAAGGGGACCTAGTATCCCCTTTTTCAGAGCCTTTATTTCAAGTCGTGTTCTCATGCTTAACTCTGTCATATTCATGTCTCTATGAAGCCCCTCCTTCTAAAAAAAAAACGCAATGTGCTCTTATTGGTCGGCTGGACCAGTGTGTTGTGATTGGTGAACCGTTTTGAGTGTGTTTCGTAAATTTGTCAAGCTCCTTACCACATTTTTTTTTACCAAAATACCTGGAAGAAAACTCAAGACTACAATCGAGGCATTGCAGGAAGTCCAGTATTAATAACTCCCTTTGGAGTGACTTTGTGCTTTGTAATTTTGCAGACGTTTTCATGCTAAAACAGCAATGTTACACACTTAAGAAAGCTGAACGTGTAAAAAAGCTTTATAGATCCTTTTTAAGTCTCAAAGTCGGAAGTCTGTTCTTCACATAAAGCTATCATTTGACTTCAAAAGACTTGCCATTTAGTGCACAAGTCATATGGGCTACTTTTAGGATCATTTTTATTGATCATTTCATTATTTAGGCGCTTGACAGCCCATGTTCATTACGTTGAAAATAGTGTCCAGGATATTCGCTTTGCTTATCCAGGTTTTTAAATGTAAACAATGGCAACATTTTCATTTTTGGGTGAACTATCCCTTTAAGGAATATTATAGATTATACAATATGCCGCATTACAGTGCAGTCCTGTGAATTTCCATACTGCTGTCAGGCGGCTCGAAATAGTCTCTTTTTCGTGTTCATCAGAAACACACTGACCTGATCCATCATCTTTTTTTTCTCGGTTTCTGAATCACCCCCTCCATCAAACACACACCATGACTCCTCTGGCAAGATTCGACTCTCTCTCTCTGTGTCTCTGAGGCATTGGCACACTGCAGATCTGTTTTGGTGGCACGCAGCGAGGAAGAAAGATATAGAAAGAGAGAGACAGACAGACTCAGCAGGGGTCTGTCTTCACACGAGACCCTCACTGTTCTGCTCTGACACACACTATCATCCTCTCCACTGAAGAGAAACCCCACTGAGGTGCTGTCATCCGTCACAGACACGATCTCAGTCTCTCTCCGGGTGGATGTGGAGCCAGTGGCCACCGATTCATGGTTATGGCTTTGATGGTGGCTGTTTTAGTGGCTAGAGAAAAACAGGACGAGTAGTGCTGGATTTGATGGACAGATTCATGATTTTCTCTCCTTGGAAACTTTCCTTGCTCTTAAAACTTTTCTCAGATCGGTTTATGCTAAACATCCAACTGGAGAAATATGAAAAATCTGCCATCGTTTACTCACCCTCCAGAACTGTCACATGCTAAAAATGACAATATTTTGCAGTCATGTTACAGCATTTTGCCATTGTATTTAAGGCTAAAAACATAAGAAAACTTTTCATTTTTAATGTGGCCTAACATAACATAATTGTCTTACCATTTCATTTTAATCAATATACGGTATACAGTATGTACAGTATGTATATATAATGTGGATTTTAAATACACCTTTTTATGGTAAAAAAAAAAAAAAAAACTTTTTAATGTCATTCTCTAGAAAATGTCTTGGTTACTAACGTGACCTCGGGCGCATCAGTAAGTGTGGTTTCTATGTAAAATATTTATAAAATATTACACTGCAACATTATTTAAAGCAGCACTATGTAGCAGCTTTTTCAACCTTTAAAATATTTTTTTAAAGGTATCCAAATATAAAATATTTTTTATATAGGTATAAAATATTTTTTTAAAGGGCTCCAAAACCCTATTTTTCCAAAACCCTGGAGATGGTACATCGACTTACAATAGGTTGAATGACAGATCTGCCATAGCCTGACGGTGTCTGTATCGTTTTCTTTAATTGCATTGCAACATTAATTAACTAAATAAAATAAATTACAAAAAGCTCGTACATTTGTTGTGTGTGGTTTCTAAAACAATTATAAACGTTGCACTGCAACATTACGTAACTATTATATTGTGTGTGTCTGTGAATATCATAAATATAATATAATACCTACAATAGGACTTTGAGATATACAATAATTGTACTTCTACAGGCCATGCTCAAGCCTATTTTCAATAGTTTTTTGTTTTCTCTCAATTTCACAGCCCCAAACACACAAAACCAGTCCTGCCAAACTCTGTCAGAAAACAACACACTAAATATGAATGAAACAGGTCTACATCTCTCTTTCTGCTGGGAAGCGTGCTTTGATGAGCACAGAGTGGAGAACATCTCTCTCTGCAGATGCTTAGATGTGAACAGAGGAGAAAATAATCTACCTTCTCTCCATCTCTCCGTCTGTCTGTCTTCCTCCGGGCAGGCGAGTGCAGTTTCAGCAGCGCTGGGGTTCACGACGGCGGGGTGTTCAGTCGGATCTTTCAGATCCTGTACAGGAATGAGGAGGTGACCCTGGAGGACCGCATGAGCTTCAGAGTGCACCTGCTGCTGGACGGTGAGAGGGTGAGTGTCCCGCTGCTCTGAAAACAGAAGTGAGGGTCTTGGTGTGGATTGTGGTATCAGCAACCTAGTATTGACAAAAAAACTGGGCTGGAAAGGTTGTAGGTTCAAATCCCACTTAAAAAAAATCGTCAACTCAGAGCTTGTTCCTACTTCGATCAAGATGCTTCTAACTTAAAATACGCATATATTTACGAAGATCTAACTTTAAATCGCAAATATTATAGGGTGGGAACTTATACACTACCATTCAAACTTTATTTTTTTATGCTCACCAATGTTGCATTGAATTGTCTCTATGCACAGCTCCACAACTTCCTGAACTTCAGCCGGCTCCTTTGTTTCCTGTCCGCCATTATTGGCCAACTGATTAATCCAGGTGTGCATGACCTCAGTAGTCACAACAACAACCTGGATTAATCAGTTTGAAATCACTTACTGCACCTTTAATGAGGGGTGTACTAACTTTTTCCCACACAAGAATGTCTTTGTTCATGTAAGATGATGTAAAATCCAAGTGCAACTTTTTAAATTGTATTGCCTTTTATTGAAATGCCAACTATCAGTGACCAAAAATGTTCATAAAACAAAAACAAAGATAAATACTTTTCAAGGGGTGTACTTATTATTTCACAGCATTGAATTACACACTTTATTATATTCAAATATTATGACTAATCATATCCTTCTGATACACTGGCTCTTTTCAGACATTATGAAACATTGGAAAAAGAGAGATAGGGAGAAGCAGGGAGTTGTGGGTGGGAGAGTGTCTTATCAGATTTTAATGGCCATCTTTCTTATTAACCTTGAAGCAGTTATCTGTGCCCGCTCTCCTCCCTGTCTCACTCTCTGTCTCTCGCCCTCAGATAAGAGGTCTAAAAATAGCTTTCCATTTCCCCAGAGTGTGTGTTCAATCAATCCGTGTATCAATAATTGGGGTAGCCCTGTTTGTTTTCAAAGATCGACGGAGGAGTACACCAGTTCAGAACGGGGTGAAACCTTCTGTCCACGTCACGTGTTATTTCTACAGGAAATCTGTGGGAAAAGCACATGCTAAATCCATGTTTTTATTTGAAGAGTCCTTAAATATGTGTGCACATGGTTGCCAACTTCAGAAAAGAAAAATGTGGGACAATTGTGTTTTTTTTAGGCTGTGCAAAAGTTAATTGCGATTAATCGCATCCAAAATAAAAGTCTGTGTGTACATAACATATTTGTGTGTGCTGTATATAATTATTTTGTATATATAAATACCTATGCATGCATGTATATATTTAAGAATTATTTGCGCTTAAATTCTGTACATATTTATAAATACATAATCTATATTATATAAATATAAATATTTTATAAATGAATAACACATTTTCTTAAATATATACATGCATGTGTGTGTATTTATATATACAACATAATTATATACAGCACACACAAATATATTACGTACACACAGACTTTTATTTTGGATGCGATTAATCGCAATTAACTTTTGCACAGCCCTAGTTTTTTTTACATGAAGGGACACTCAAAATATGTGTACTATGAACTATACTTTACTCAGAATAAAACACTTTTTGGTTAACCTATTTATGTACAATTTAATTCTAAAACAAAAAAGTCAGATTAAACAAAGTTCAAAATAATAGCGTTTATCTGAAATAGAAAGCTTTTTTTTTACTGTAAAATACCGTTAAATTTACAGTTTTAAAAGTGAAAATGAACAACTCATTGTATAATTTACAGTGAACTTTAAAAACTTAATTAAAAAAATTAAATTGACATTCCCACAATTCCCTGAGTGACACTTCACATTTGATGTATTTTTGTTGAAATAACTTGTTTCTTCATAGTTTTCGTAGTCTTTTCCTAATCGCTTACGCACGTAAGGGTTTTATATGACATTTAATGTTGTTCAATTATTGAACTTTTTTTTAATTAAGAGGCTGTCCGGTACTGCCTGAGATGGTTAACTCTGGCGATGCATGTGAAAAACAGATTCAACTAATCATAAAGTCACTCAGGATACATATAGGCCTACACTAAAAAGCCCTGGCCTGCACCCTCCTTTAATCCAATCACAGTGCTGTATTCTGCATGAGGTCGCATACTACAATGGAGCATTCAAATGTTTTAAAATCCTGTTCTTTTACCTCGGCCTGCTCAGATTTGAGTAACAACTCAGATTTGAGTTTGACATATGAGTGCATGTGAACTGAATATAACCTAAAAGGATTAGTTCACTTTTGAAAAAACTTTTGCTGATAATTTACTCGCCCCCATGTCATCCAAGATGTCCATGTCTTTCTTTCCTCAGTCGAAAAGAAATTTAGGTTTTTGATGAAAACATTCCAGGATTTTTCTCCATATAATGGACTTCAATGGGAACCGGATGGTTCAAGGTCCAAAAGACAGTTTATAACAGTTTCAGATGCAGCTTCAAATGTCTTTAAACGACACCGGACGATGAATAAGGGTCTTATCATGCGAAACGATCGGTTATTTAAAAACTTATTCCAAAAATGTAACTTTTCTAAAGACAAATGCTAGCATTGCTCTATTCTGTGAGGCGCGTTTGGAACGTCACGTATTACGTAATTACGTTCAAAAGGTCACGGGCGACGTAGCCGAAAGTACAGAGTCAGTGTTTAAAAGTTGAACGCACAGGTTGAACGTGCAAAACTAACTCAAACGCCGTTTACAAAAAAAGGAATTAAAAGGAAAAACAACGATGTCGCACGATTTTGATTCTGTACTTCCGGCTACGTCGCCCGTGACCTTTTGAACGTAATTACGTATTACGTGACGCGCCTCACAGAATAGAGCAAGGCTAGCATTTGTCCTTAGAAAAGTTACATTTTTGGAATAAGCTTTGAAATAACCGATCGTTTCGCATGATAAGACCCTTATTCATCGTCCGGTGTCGTTTAAAGACATTTGAAGCTGTATCTGAAACTGTTATAAACTGTCTTTTGGACCTTGAACCATCCGGTTCCCATTGAAGTCCATTATATGGAGAAAAATCCTGGAATGTTTTCATCAAAAACCTAAATTTCTTTTCGACTGAGGAATCTTGGATGACATGGGGGTGAGTAAATTATCAGCAAAAGTTTTTTCAAAAGTGAACTAATCCTTTAAATCACTTGAGGGATGAATGATTTGATGGATTGATCTTTTTTTTGATGCACAAACTTTGACGAAGGGTCCCGCCATCTAGGAATCGAACTGTAGAGATCATAAACACCACAACACAACCAATCACAACAGGAACGCTGTAGAAAAGATGGCGTTTTGTTTTTGGTTTTGACTGACAGGTGTGGTGATGTGTTTCTCTCAGGTGGAGGAAGCCATGAGTGAGGTGGACGTCCAGCTCAAACTAGATCTGCACTTCACTGACAACGAACAGCAGTGAGTCCCTCTCTCACTTTTACACACTTTTCTCCCTCTGCATCATCACTGTGTTCAGAATAGCGTACTATCATGCTAATTTGGCTACTTTGTGTATGTGGATCTTCAGTATTCAGGGAAGGACCTAATGCTTTCCCCTAAATGGTCCCACAATGCAATGCACTTGATTTTCCACGTAGAGTGATGAATGAAAACGAAGCAGTGTCAACCATGCTTTTTAAGATCGCAGACTACATTACAGTTGTTTGCTATTTATAAAAAGCAGCATTAGTGAAATATTATTAAAATTCAGAATAACTATTTTCTATTTGAATATGTTCATGTAGTTAATTAATATTACTCAGTACTAATATGAGCAAGTACAATATAACTACGTCACCTTAAAGTAAAGAAACGCCTATTTGATAGAAAATAGTTCAAATGAAAACATTTTGAATAAAAATATCTTTACATTTGGCAGTTCGATGCATCAGTGCCAACAAAGAGATAAAAATCCCCTCTGATGTTGTTTCATCCATCACAGTGAAAAAGGAAGACCAAATCAAGTGCATTGCATTGTGGGATACATTTTTTCACACAGCAGTCAGATAGTATACTAGTGTACACAAAACATTCAGAAGGTGAAAACAACACATTGAATTAAACATGCAACTTTGTGAGGAAGTGAGAGAACAATGAAACATTTGCATACTATTTCACATGAAATTTCAAAAGAAAAATCCAGATTTTCCATGCCAAACACAGCCATTGCCTCCCTCTTTCCTGTAATTTCTATCACATATTCTCATGAGATCACATTGCAGCGTGTGTGTGTGTGTGTGTGCGTATATTAATCAAGAACAGTAAGAGCAACTGCACAGTTGGCCCTCAGCTTAAAATACTCTTTTACATACACACACACACACACACCTATCTCAAAGCAGCACAAATGAGAGCAATTACTGTAGCCTCTTCCCTGCAGCGGTCGGGCCCCGTGGCCCCTGAGCTCTGCTGGGACGTCAGCGAGACCGGCTCATTAACTGCTCTCCCTGTCCATCTCAGGAGTTTTCTGAATCCTGCTCTTTTTCTCTGGCTGCCACATCTTAGTACAGTTGTTCCTTCTGCAGACCTGAGACAATTACATCTATCACATATTGTATAATATATAATCTTTATTTGATTAAATTATTAAAATGTATTGTTTTTCCCCTGTTGTTTTGTGGTGTTTTTCCTCCATATTTTGAATTACGCTTTGTACTGTGTTGTGTTTTAGGGTTACAGGAAATGTCTGTAAACGTATCCTGGCAGAAAATGACCTGTATCTTTTCCATTTTCTGTGGATTTTTAAGAAATATATACATCTTGAATTCACTATTTGCTACATAATCAAAATTAAATAAAATAATTATATATTTTTATATAAAAAAAATATATGTTTGAAATATTTCTAGATTTTTTTTTTACATTACAAAAATTCACCACAAAATGACACACCCTAAAGGGTAATACTTTACTTGAAGGGGTGTGCATAAGACAGACATGACACTTTCATAACCATGTAAGTAAGGTTTATGCATGTTTATGACAACTGTCATTAAGTGTCTTTTGCTCAATAATGACATTTTGAATGCAAATATGACATTGTTTAAGATGTTGTTATGACATAAACCAATACATCATAACCTGTCAGAGTCTTTGTAATTTGTAAGTTAAAGTGTCATGTGGTTGGCTTTGACATTGGCTGTCATGAGGCCATTATAACTGTGTCATGGATATTTTTCGTGACCTCAACTACTAATTGAATTTGTCATTAAAAAGTTATAATGGCTTCATGACAGCCAATGTCAAAACCAACCAGCTGACAGTTTAATGTAATGTTAACCAATAAAGCTAGGTGGTTTCTTAAGTTTGATCATTAATCTGCTATGTATGTCATGTTGTGTTGTTTTAGTAATCTCAAGTTGTCATGAAAAAGACACTGACAGGTTATGATGTATTGGTTTTGTCAAGATGTCAACAAAGACATCTCAAACAATGTCATATTTGCATTCAAAATGTCATAACTGAGCGAATGACACTTAATGACAGTTGTCACAAACATGCATAAAACTTCATTCATATCCATAACATGTCATGTCATGGTTATGAAGGTGTCTTGTTAGTCTTATGCACACCCCTTTAAGTAAAGTGTTACCCAATAGGGACATATTATGTTCTGTTTTTGCTTATGTAAAGCGAATTACATTGGATTCAAGGTTCGTGCTTCCCTGGAATCAAACCCATGACATTGGCGTTGCTTGCATCACGATCTCCTGTTTGAGCTACAGGAAAGCTTTAGATGTTATTTTGTCCACGTCTTTGTGTGTTAGGTTGGCGGATCTCGCTTCAGTGCCTCTGATTAGCAGCAGGACGTTGGGTTTGCACTTCCATCCTCACCAAGGCCTACATCACCACCTGCCCGTCATGTTTGACTACTTCCACCTGTCCGTCATCTCCGTCTCAATCCACGCTTCCCTGGTGGCGCTGCACCAACCACTGATCAGGTGATCACACACAACCCCGCCCACCAGTTCTCAGCCAATCATCAATTTAGGGCACCAACTACCATGCCTTCAGAATTTATTTTGCTGCTTTTTCAAAAGCATTTTGTCTATAAAATTTGATTGTTTTTTCCTCATCCCAGACAAGGACACCATTATTATACATATTGAACTGTTTTATCAGTAATACTAATAATAATTTAATTTAACTTAGACATTAAGGCAATGAGGCAATTATTATTTAGTTTAACTGATCTGAATTACACTGTAAAAAAAGTTATTTTTATAATAATATATACATAATAATATTGTGAAATTTAAAATAACTGTTTCCTATTTTAATATATTTTAAAATTTATTTTATTTTTTAATAGTTTTGAAATAAGTCTCTTATTATTACAATTTAAAATAAATAATTTCTATTTGAATATATTTTCAAATGTAATTTATTCCTGTGATAGCAAAGCTGATTTTTTAATTTAATTTAATTTAATTTAATTTAGTTTAATTTAGGTGTATAAGTCAAGTATTGTTCACGGCCATGTTTTCTAGTTTACTGATGAATCCTGTGTATTGTTTGTTGGACCTCTGCGGTGTTACTGACAGGATGTGATGTATTTTCACGGCAGTTCTTCAAACTGAGCTTTTAAAGTGCTAGATCTTTTCCTGAACCCTCCTGAAAGCAAAGCTGTCAAATCCAAAGTGTGTGTATTTGTCAGCTGTTACGTGAAATAGATTTCAGAGAACAGAAGCTTCATTAGTCTCAAACATTCTCAAGACCCACATTTACGATCTAATCAGACATGTGGGTTTGTGTGTAGGCCTTGTTTTCGGTATAAATAATCTTCCCTTCCACTGATAACAGCAGCACACATTGATAACACTACAGGTACTTACACTCTGTGATTTGTCTTGTAGTTTTGCACGCAGTGGAAGGGGGTCGTGGCTGGGGAAAGGGTCTCCCGAAAGCGAAGCTCCGCCCTCTGCGATGTCAGTGGAGAACCTGATGTTTGGGGCTGGATACTGCAAACCTGTTCCAACAGAGGTAACCACATACATCCAACCTGATCAAGACAACTCATTTTACACATAATCATGCACTTAAAGGGATAGTTCACTTTGAAATTAATTTTGGTATGTTTTATCTTACCTCAAGGGCATCCAAGATGTAGGTGTCTTTGTTTCCACAGTAGTTTCAATTTGGATATTTTTAGGTCAAACCGTTCTTGTCTGTCAGTCATATAATGGAGGTCTATGGTCACCACCTAAAAGAGCATGCACAGAGAAGTCCAAATTAAACATGATTTAATGACTCGGAAATGTATGTACACATTAATGGCGTAAGACACGAAACGAGCGGTTTGTGTGAGAAAACGAACAGTATTTATATCGTTTTTACCTCTTGTAATCACAGTCATGTCCAAGTACTCTGAGGGCGAGGGCGATTCTCTCTGCGCAAGCGCCGGAAACCCCGGAAGTGATCTCTCGCGCGTGTACGTCATTCATTGTATACAAAGAGATTTCAGAAGTGTTACCTTTCACTGTGAAGATCTAAACATATTTAAATATACAGGAAATTGCAATGGAAGACGATTTCGATATATCAACAGACAACGCTGATTTTTTCAGATCACTTCCGGCGCTTGCGAAGACCAAAGCGCCCGTGCTTTCAGATCCCTTGGACGAGGTAAAAACGGTATAAATACTGTTTGTTTTCTCACACAAACCGCTCGTTTCGTGTCTTAGGCCATCAATACACAATTTCCGAGTCATTAAATCATGTTTAATTTGGACTTCTGTGCATGCTCCTTGAGGTGGTGACCATAGACCTCCATACAGACAAGAACGGTTTGACCTAAAAATATCAAAATTGAAACTACTGCGGAAACAAAGACACCTAGATCTTGGATGCCCTTGAGCTAAAACATATCAAAAATTTATTTCAAAGTGAACTATCCCTTTAAATGATTGAGTTTTAATGAATCGTGTGAATAGCATTGCAGTCTATTTTCTGTATTTAGAAAATCCATGACCTATGATATTTGCCAAAATGTGCAGTACATTGTGAGATGGTGTATGAGTATCCCACAATGCAATGCAACATACCTTGACCTTCTATTTTTAATGAAATGAATGAATTGAAGTTATCTTAACAATATGTAATGTGAAAAAAGGGGATAATTACATACTGGGTGCGAAATGCAATTATTTCGTTTAAAAATGCTAGACAGAATGCATAATATGCAGTATTCAAAGTATTTTCAAATAATACATGCTTCAGCTGGCTCCAAACATTCAGGGCCATTTAGAGTTAAACGGCATAGATAATCTGACCTTTCTGACCAGAAGCTGAGGACAAAGTAGCCCTGCGTTTTTCTCTGACTGGAAGAATTGAGAGGTTTCTCTTGCCTGTGGAGATTTCCATTTAGGCAGGACAAGGTAACGAGGTCTCTCGTCTCCATATGGGTCCTGCGTTTACACCCCCCCTGCAGGGCACTTTATTAAGCTCAGCGTTACACTGGAGAGAGGCAGCGTTTGATCATCGTAACGAGCCCAGCTTTACTGGCCTCCAACATGAGGAGCAAGCACTCTCTCTCTCTCTCTCTCTTTCTATAAGCGCTTGCAAGCCTCCTCAGCACTTTTACTTTTACCATGAAGGATATAATGTGATACTTTCCTCTCGGTATACTCTTTGTCTATATATGCCATACGATTAGATCTTTAAGCTGATTAGGTGATGAGTTGATATTTGTGTCTTTGGCAAAATGGATTGAACTTAATGCATTGGTCATTGATCATTGAATGACCTTTCCCGGATTTCTACTTCTAAAAGCATCCGAAAATAGTTGGTTACACTTTATTTCGATGGACCACTTTAGACATTCAACTAGTGCGAACTATAAAGTCCAAAGTCCTCGGCCGCCATCTTGGCAACGCCTCCGGGCAGCTATTTCAGGCTAACAAGAGCAGGCTCCTATCTAAATGAATGAGCAGAGAGTCAGAGCTGCACTTTCACTGGTCACTGGGACATAAAAACGGCATGTATAGAAACTGCAGTAAAATATGATAAAAATCGCTGAAAAAGTGTGATGACTTTGCCCCAAAATAAGGTTTAAAACGCCCTTTTCCCCACAGGTTATACTTTTACTACGCATGCGCACGGGTTCTCGCAGACATCATCTGTGCGCATGCGTCAGTGGAACCAGACGATAGGCTTACATGTTTCCCGGCTTGACTGTTAAAAGCAGACGATTGGTTTTCCAGTGGGAGGGGCGGGGCATGTGCATACAACCGCCATCTTTGGCGTTACATGTTTTCCCTATAAAGTTGTATTGAGGATTTAGGAAGTGGCACTACATGTTGACTCTTATTAGACTGTAGCAGACTGTTAGGTGTTCGAGTTAGTACAAGCAAAGTTACTTACAAAGTTATAACCGCACCTTCAAAATAAAGTGTTACCAATAACTATCATATTGGCTTGTATATATTACAAGACTTCTGAATCATATAACAACTAAAACTTCAGTGAACCTAAAATTAAATTTGTTTGTTTTTAATGCTCTCTGTTAACTGCTAAAAATTGAAGTCACTGGCGAGTTAAACTAGATCAAACTGACTCCTGAATGTACTTGTAATACACACAGTAGTGTACAGACTTGTGATGGATGGCATATTTACTCTGCACTCGAGCTTTCTTACATTCAGTTTGGCTCTATGAACTCAATCTATGATCGATTCTGATTTTATGTGAGTGTAATAATGACTGTGTGTTTTCCAGCTGTTATAGTGCTAAGAAGTGAAAAAGCACAGAGCAGATGTGTGTGTGAGACTGAATTCAGTATGCATCTGTTTGAGTAAAAAGGACATAACTGAATGTAGATTACAAAGCTTCACACATATAATGACAGCGTTCACCACTATCTTTACACTCAAACATAAACACATTACACAGTATACACAAGTATGCAGTAAATACATATTAGAGGCCCAGCAGACCCACAATCACCCCGCAAAAAATGTTTCTTGTGCAGAAAATCTGCATATTAGAATGATTACCGAAGGATCATGTGACTGAAGACTGGAGTAATGATGCTGAATATTCAGCTTTTCATCACAGTAATAAATTACATTTTATAATAAATTCATATAGAAAATAGTTATTTTAAATTGTAACTTCATACTTCAATACTTCACAATATTACTGTATTTTTGATCAAATAAATGCAATAATAAATAATCAATAATAATCAATAATAAAAAAGATATGAAAATTCACCTGAACAAAATATCAAAGTAACACTTTCTCACTCTGACTGAAAATGCTGCGAATCAAACATCAAACAAAATGCATCAAAGAGTGACACTGTATATATATAATATATATATATATTTACACACACACAATTTAATTGTCAGTGCAGTGTGTTTACATTACTGAACAGAGAGGGTCTGTCCTCTCATGTGTGCACTTCCTGCCAACAGGACGTCTCGTGCCGTTCTCCATAAGCGAGTGCCACGTACACACACTTCTATTTTACTGCTGGGAAACTGACTGTGTTTAGTTTTACCCGGCGTTTGATCTTCATCTAATTATTGAGCTCAGCTAAACATAAACATACAGCTGCTGCTCATAACAACCACATCACATACATTATATCAGATTATATCGGACTCTCTCTATATATGAAGAGTTCAGATGCAAAAGCCTCTAAACGCCATTTGAAATTTTCTTCTAAAATGATCATTTTTATCAAGCTTATATATTCAAGTTCAGTAATTTCACTCAAATGACAATTAATAGGTAATCCTCATTGCAATTTAACTGAAATTACTGAACTTAAATATACAAGCTTGATAAAAATGATCATTCTAGAAGAAAATTTCAAATGGCACTTAGAGGCTTTTGCATCTGAA